CAAGCACCGGAACATAAGATCGTCCAAAAGAAACACCAATTTCAGAAAATTGAAGCTCCAAGAGATTTCAAAAAATCGACTCCCAAGACAGCCAGATTTAATTCTGACGGAGACGATGATTTTGTGTTCGAACCAAAAAAAAAAAATGTCCGATGACAGAAGAGACGGGGGTCATAGATACCTAGGGTAAAACAAAAATTGTTGGTTCTCCAAAGTATCAACAAAAGTTCGATTTGGATTTCATACTAGGAAGAAGAACATTCAAATGAAGTGGGTCGAACATCTCAAATGACGGCAATGAGATGGGCTTGGACATATGTATGTGTCTTAGGTTGTTTATATCCCGTTTATATAAATGTAAGTTAACGTTATTTTAATGTCATATTTTTGTTTATCTTGTTTCAGGATTGTTTCAGGATTGTTTATATTTTCTTTCTCACAATTAATTTAATTTCAAGAGAAATAGAATGAATCTCACGAAATTGATGCGGCCGGATTTTTTGGTGTTGGCCGGTGCACGCGGCCGGAATGTTTTTGGGGCTGGCTTGATCGTTGTGCTGGTGTGGCCGGATCGCCGTGTTGGTGTGGCCGGATCGCCAGTGGACGTTGGACGCGTGAAGAATAAGTAGGACTGTTTAATTTCAAAAATTGGATCTCAATTTTGACTTCCCGAATGCAAGGTTGCACAAAAAAAAGCTTCAAGTTCAAAAATTGGATGCTCCTACCCGTACAAAGAAAGCACCAATTCCGAACCCGCCGAGATTGAGTCGGCCGATGGCGATGATTTCGTCTCAATTTTATAAGTTGATTATCTTATGTATATATATATCGTCAGTTTTTTTGTCATGTTATAAATATGTTACAGTTGGGTAAAGTTTAGAGAGTGTTTATCTTATGTATATATATACAATTTATATTCTCATGTTACAAACTTGTTGCAGAATCAAAGATGTTTATTTGTTGTTTATTTTATGTATATATATATACACTTTTTGTTCTCATGTTATCAGGTAATTGCAAAATAAAAAATATGTTTATATGTTGTTTATCTTATGTATATATATGTACAATTAACACAGCCATATGTATATATTATGTCAAGAAATGGAAGAACGATGAAGATGCTATGAGTTTTTTTTTTTTTTTTTTTTGTTAATGCAATAATCTCGTTTGATAAACAAATTTTAATTGGAGAGAGAAATATGGAGAGAGATAAAGACTCTCACCAATTAATTGCTTGTTTAGTGGTTGGAGAGAGAATGAGAGAAATATGGAGAGAGATAAGGCTCTCAACAATTAATTGCGTATTTATTGGTTGGAGAGAGAATGAGATCACAATGTAAGAGAATTAATCTCGTATTTGTGAAAAAAAAAAGCACCACCAAGTCCTATTTTGATTAAACTCTTTCCAAGTAGTATATATGATAATATTTGTTATATAGAGTATATGTATGTAAATTTCCCGTTCATATTCGAGATGGGGCGACTCAACGCATTTGACCCAAGAGGAGTGTCTTTCCTAGTGGGCCAGTGGCCCAATATTACGAGCCCAAATACTTGAGTGAAGAACAAAAAGTTTTGAGGTGGTCCGACTCCACACTCAACGGCACTAATTTGCATTTTACATAGTTACTAGTATGAATCGGTATTTAACTTATTTGAGATTGAAATTTATTAAATCCTTTTAAGATCTACTGATATTTCAAAATATAAAGCATATTCACTCCAAATCTCACATTTTGTAAGCTTTTATAGGATTACATATAAATTTGAAATTTTTTAAACTTTTTTATAATACCACGCAAAATCTCAAACAAATACATCATACGATTTTCAATCTTTTACACCGTGATGGCCTTTGAGAAACTTTGATGGGTCATCATGATATCTCTAAAGCCATTATTATTAATCTATATCTAGCTCTTAAAATTCAAATTATTCCTTCATTTGTATATCTTAAAAGGTAAAGAAAATTAGTCTTGTGGGAAGATTAGAAAATCATATGGCAACTTAGTCAAAAAAGTTAACCCAATGAATGGCTTGTTTTATTTTGAAATCTTGACCAATTGGGAGAGTTAAGATAAAAAGGGGCTTTTATCTTAGAGTGAACTTTTTGTTCCTTGTTTGCCAAATTTAAATTTTAACTAATTGTCAACAAAGTTAGAAAAATCCCAATAGTAAGATTAAGAATGTACTGTCATTTTAAGGTGGATTATTTTCGGATAGAAAAAGTTAGCATATCAATTGCCCAATCTTCTAAATCAAATGCAATGAAAAAGATTGACCATTGTCCTACAATATAACTTTTTATTTTATTTTGAGTTATTGCATTAAAAATCCCAAACTTTTGTTTAATTGCAAATAAAACTCATCTTTTTTTAACTTGGCAAGAAGATACCAACCTTTAGTAAGTATTGCAAGTTTGTCTCGAAAACATATTCCGGCCAATTCTACTGACATGGATGATCGGAAAAATGACGTGGCATCCGCATCGGAAAAATGACGTGGCATCCACATCGGCTTACACTTAGGACGCCACATCATATTTATTTCTATTCCATAAAAATTTAACTTTTCCTCTTTTTAATTCATTTGCAGAAGCAGATTTTTGGAAAGAAAAAAATTCAACGCTCGCGTCCCTCTTCTGCTCGATCGGCCCCCGCTTCTCTTCTGCGCAAATAGAACAAAATTCAACACCGTAAATCATGATCCTGACTTGCGACAGAGATTCGTATAGCAACAACTGCGATTTGTATTTAGTGGGAACCCTCACTTGATTTATTTTTTTTGGTTGTCATCTATAAATGCCACACGAAACTCACTGTTTAGATTCTTAAATGCCGCACGAAACTCACTATTTAGATGCTTAAATGCCGCACGGAACTGACCCGTTCTCCATTTAGGGTTCGTAGGGTTTTGTTGATGGAAGATGATATAGCCACAGCTAGTACTGTCGGCTCGACCGGTAGTATCTGATATAGCATGTCGTACCCGACCAGTTTTTATGGATATATATTGAAGAATACGCCTATACATGGGCTAAGACATTTGATATGATAATATGGGCCGAGCCCAACCTAGGCCAGACCCAACTTGGACTATAAGGTACACTCCCCCTATAAAAAGGGGGAGAAGGTACTCATTTCCTTCATTATCTCCCCATTCCATTACTACACTCTCTCTACACTCTCTCCCTACTCTCTCTGGTGTAGAATAGTATTATTATTATTATTATTATTATTATTATTATTATTATTATTATTATCTTGGAGAATAAGTTAGGAATTAAATATTAGAGATCTTGTCTTGTTGGACAAGTTAAGAATAATGTTTAGGAGTCTTATTTAAAGGGCTCCCCCATCTATTGTTTTATTCAGTTGAATATGAAATAAGAATTGATTGAGTTTTGTGAGTTTAACGTGTTTTACGAGAGAGTATCTCGTTTACTCGTTTTATTATTTCCATTCGTACACGCTTCCCTACATCACTCTCTCTATGCATTCTCATATGAATCTAGTACTGATTTAAGCATCGGAGGCCCAAAGCTGGGCACCCCTCCCGGGGTCCTCGACTTTGGGTTCTTGCAGGTACGGTGGCCGTCCGAGCTGAGGGAGCCCGGGTGATATCTTTGTCCCATCAGAAGATTTTAGGGATCTTGTTCTGGAGACGAAGATATTTCTTCAAGCACAACACCACTCGATTTTTGGGGTGAAGAATCAAGAACGGCGGCAGATTTGCGTAGAAAAGAAGCGGGCGCCAATCGAGCAGAAGAGGGACGCGAGCGAGAGTTCTTTCCAAAAATCTGCTTCTGCAAATGAATTAAAAGGGGGAAAAATTAGATTTTTAAGGAATAGAAACAAATATGATGTGGCATCCTAAATGTAAGCTGATGTGGATGCCACGTCATTTTTCCGATCATCCATGCCAGCAGAATTGGCCGGAATATGTTTTCGAGACAAACTTGTAATACTTACTAAAGATTGGGTATTTTCTTGCCGAGTCAAAAAAAATTAATTTTATTTGCAACTAAAAAAAAGCTTGGGGTTCTTAATGCAATTAACCCTTTTATTTTTTATATTTTTTAATAAGCACGTGTTTATATGTGTTTATTGTCAGTTGGATCCATCCGTCATACTATTTTAATAGAAATATATATATAATTGAACTATCATATTTTTGTTTTTACTGTGATATTAAAAAATACATAATTATGCAATGAAATAGCATATTCTAATTATATTATTTAAAAAATATGAATTTTTAATCTAAAATCATACATACATATGAGTTTATAATCATTACCTTGTCTCACAGTAGTCTAACAACATTATTATTATTATAATACTTTTAATAATAAATAACTTTTATTTTTTTGCAAAAAAAATAACTCTTTACAACTCAAAAATATTGATTGATTATTAATGTTGTCTTATAACTTACCCTCACATTAATTAAATTAACATCACACACACTCAAAGTACACATGACTTGGTAAACTACTACAGTTACAACACTCTCACTCAAAGTTCACAAATTAATTGCCTAAAAACAACTTTACTCAAACTCAACCTTTTCTTTTTCTTTTATTTTTCTTTCCATCAAACTCCACATAATATCATTTTTATGTTAAACTATATTATGTCAAATACCTTCCCATCTGCACTCAAATAATTCCTTATCAGAGCACACACACACCCAAACACACACACACACACACACACACACACACACACACACACACACACAAACACACACACACACACACACGCAAAAATTGTGTCTTTTTCATAACAGTACCAAAAAAATATAAATCAAAAAATCAAAGAGAAAACAAGAAAAAAATGGGAAGAGCTCAGACACAAATCCCAGAAAACTCAAACATGTCCCATTTGCAATGAAAGCCAAGAATCAAGACCCCAACATTCATCACACCACAAACCCATAATAAACAAAAAATAAACCAAAAATTCCCCCAAAAAAGGAAAAAAAATCCCAAGAAAATGTCTTCTTCACCACCCAGTGCACCCACACCAAATAAAAACGCAATCTTTATCACCTGCCTGATAATCCTCTGGTACTCGACCAACATCGGCGTTCTCCTCCTCAACAAGTTCCTCCTCTCAAACTATGGCTTCGCCTTCCCAATCTTCCTCACGATGTGCCACATGTCGGCCTGCGCCGCCCTCAGCTACGTCACCGTCGTGTTCCTCAAGGTGGCCCCGCTGCAGAGGATCAAATCCCGGGCACAGCTCGCGAGGATCGCTACGCTCAGCGTCGTCTTCTGCGCCTCCGTCGTAGGCGGCAACATCTCCCTCCGCTACCTGCCCGTCTCCTTCAACCAGGCGGTGGGCGCAACGACGCCGTTTTTCACGGCGCTGTTCGCGTACCTGATGACTCTCAAGAGGGAGGCCTGGGCCACGTACACCTGTCTTGTTCCTGTGGTTGCTGGGGTCGTCATTGCCAGTGGGGTGAGAATTTTTTTTATTATTGCTATTTATTCTTGGACTTTGTCTTTGATTTTGTTGAAAGATTCGATATTTTATACGTAGTTTGTGTGTTTTTGTTAAAATTTGTACGGTTGATGACTGATATAAGCGAGATCTGAGTTTTAATGGGGAATTTTCCATAATGTGTTTAGTCAGCTTACCTGGTTTTTGTGTGTGTGTGTGTGTGTGTGTTCTTCCTGACAAGGTTCGATTTTTATTGTGGATTTATTTTGGTTTGTTTTGATTCATTATAAGACTGTTTTTCTGATTGCAGTTTGTGTGTTTTTCTCATGATTTAGTGTGCTTTATGAGCAAGATCTGAGTTTTAATTGGGAATATTTCCATTTTGTGTTTGAGTGGTATACCTGGTTGATTGTGATTCTAAGGTATTTTGAGCTGACGAGATACGATTTTTATTGATGGGGTTTTGTATTTATAATGCACTACTGAGTTGATAGTGGCAGGTTTAAGATATAAGGATCAGAATACAAAGTTGTTTGCGTATTTTGTTTAGGATCAGATTACGGTGGTCGGTTATTTTAATTATCATCTTGAATTGATCTTTGATTTTGTTGAAAGATTCAATTTTTAATATGTAGTTTGTGTGTTTTTCTTAGGATTTGTATGCTTGATGACTGATATAAGTGATATCTGAGTTTGGATGGGGAAATTTTTCATTCTGTGTTTAGTGAGCATACCTGTTTTTCCTTTTTTGTGTGTTTTTTACTGACTAGATTCGATTTTTATTGTGGATTTCATTTATTTTGATTTGTTTCGATTCATTGAAAATTTGTGTTTTCTGGAATTCAGCTTCTGTGTTTTTCTTTGGATTTAGTGTGATTTACGAGCAAGATCTGAGTTTTAATGGCAATATTTCGATTATGTCTTTAAGGCACATACCTGGTTAATTATGATAACCGAGTTAACAGATCTGGCTTTGTGCTTTTACCTGACAAGAAACGATTTTTATTGATTGGTTTTTTTTTTTCGTATTTTCAACACATTACTATGTTGTCAATGGCCAGTTTCAGAAACAATGATCGGGTCTTAAATCTTTTTTATCAGCAAGTTTTTGACTTCACATTACACATACAAATGCACATTCTTATTGATTAACTTTTTAAGTTAGTTTCGCTTTCGCCTTGTATCGAATCTGAAGCTTTCTGATCTCTTGTAAATTGTGATCATGAAATTTATAAAGATGCAGTTTTCTCTATTTACCTAACGTATACCAATTTTAGGCCTCCGTAGTCTATAACAAGCGGTCTTAAAAAAAAAAAAATGTTAGCAAATTTGAATTTTGTGTTTCTTGATTTACACACGTGTTCTTTATTGCTTACTGCAGGGTGAACCGAGCTTCCATTTATACGGATTTATCATGTGTATAGGTGCAACTGCAGCTCGAGCTTTCAAATCCGTGCTTCAAGGGGTCCTCCTTTCTAATGATGGGTAACACAATTTTATCTGTTTTCTCCACTTTCCACTAGTTTATAAAAAGATTAACCACAGCTGAATTTAAAATTAAAAAAGGGAAAATTTCAGTACGAATTTTCATTTCGTTTTTTTTTTTT